TCTCATTCTTACTTCAAGCTTCTTTCAGCTTAAGTAAAAGAATCTTTTAGCAATATCTTTTCTTATATTTGCTATTCTTTGTGTGTAACTTAAGATTGTTTAGATAGGTTTCTCATACCTTATCTTTCCGCAGACAATCTTGTAAAATCTGTATTGATCTTCTTTATCAATATATATTTTAAATTTGAAAATTGTGTTTGTATGCATCCCCCCCCCTTCTACAAACTGTTTAGTATTCTTGTAGACCCTTTGGGACCAACAATATATATATATATATATACGTAATTTCTAACTTAACAAATTATAATGTTTGTCCAGCAAATGACAACCCAATTATAATAGATAGATATACTTACCATGACTTGGCTACACTTTGTGGTCACGTACCCCCCGAATCCGTAGATGTGGCATCTCCACTCGACCTTTTCTTGTGTGTGTAATCGAACAATTCCACAACGGGGGCATGCCATCTTTTGCTCGTGTCTACAAAAGTCAAATAATACAAAAATGTATTAATTATAACATAATAAAAATCAAGCTACTAAATTAATGGGTTTTAGGTTCTACAAGACGAGCACCATGCTCCGAAAATGGTATCGATCCACCAGTGTGTAGCGCAACTTGGTTATCACAATTCTCACGCGCCACACTAGAAACAGCCTTCCAATTATCACTGTTCCAACAATCGACCATCTGGACCCATACATCTAAAGATATCTAGTTGGGGGTGGGAATGCTTCAGCACACTCATATGTCGGTTGGGGTTCATTTCATCATACTGAGGATACCCATTCATCCTTGCTTTTTCCCCAGCTTTCTTCCTTGCAGCACTCATGTTATCATTATACGGCTTGGCCGACTTTCTTTTCCATGTCTCCAGGATCTGGGCGTCCAAAGCCGGATCCCAAGTATAATAGCCCTGTACATAAAAGTTTAGGTGATTCTTAGGTTCAAAAAATATACATAAAATATAATAAAATGAATATATAACACAAACCTGGAACCGCTCCCACATGCGGCGTCTCACATCCTTTGGGATTTTTTCCCAACTGGTCCATGGGCCGTTAAGCAGCTCTCGGTTGATCTTGGTGATTCAACGGATCACTTTGGTGTCACTAAAACTATATAATTACGAATTGGATTAGCATCAATACAAAAAATATATTTTTATCAATTAAAAGATGTAAATGTATTTACTCTTTGCCGCGGATGCCA